CATATGAAGAATACGTTAGATTGTTGTTACATGTACCACACAGCCAGTACTTGCCAGATATTCCTGCAGCTCCTTTAATGTTGCTGTGGGCCTCTTGGCAGCCTCCCTGACCTTTTTCTTCTCTTTTCATCCATTTTGGAGGGACGTCCAGTTCTTGGTAATGTCACTTTTGCGCCATATTTTCTCCACTTGACTGTCTTCACTGTGTTCCATGGTATATCTAATGCCTTGGAAATTCTTTTGTACCCTTCTGACTGATACCTTTTTATTAATGAGATCCCTCTGGTGCTTTGGAAGCTCTCTGCAGACCATGGCTTTTGCTGTAGGATGCGAATAAGAAAAAGTCAGGAAAGACCTACTAGAATAGCTGAACTTTATTTGGTGTTAATCAAAGGCACTTTAAATGATGGCAGGTGTGTACTGACTCCTATTTAACATGATTCTGAATATGATTGCTTGATTCTGAACACAGCTACATCCCCAGTTATAAGAGGGTGTGCACACTTATGCAACCATACTATTTTAGTTTTTTATGTTTACTCCTCCCCCTAAAAGATTTCAGTTTGTTTTTTAATTGAGATGTACAATTTATAGGTCACATTAAAGGTGGAAAATGATTGATTTATTTTTGTCTAATTTTTTTACATCACGGAACCTGACATTTTAACAGGGGTGTGTAGACTTTTTATAGCCACTGTAAATGCCATCCAGACCATCTGATGGATTTCTTTAGTACATCATAGAAGACTGGTTACTTCATATTCATGACTACTTTGTTATGTTGCCACCTTTGGGTGAATTCCTTGCCCAGGTAAAATTTTGCCAGCTTAGCCTCTGCTTTTAGCTAGTGTCTTTAAACGATGTTTGTGCCATCACATGACTCTGAAGAATTTATTTCCAGGGCTCTAGTTCCCTTAGTCTGTACACCCCTTCTGGGGAAGGGAAAGGCTGAACCTGGATTGGTTGCTTATGACCCTGAGGCAAAACAGTCTGTAATGTTGGCAGTCAGGGCTGGATCCTGTGGGCAGCAGTTCCCAGTGTACTCTGTATTCGGTGACCCCCACTGGTAGGATGCTGTGAATGTACAGGGCAGTGATCCCCTTGGGGAAGTCAAGTCCCTGGAGGCCCTGTGGGGCACGCCCACCGTGAGGCGTGAAAAATGGGCCTGCCTTCCAGTCCTAAAGCAAAGAATTGTGAGTTCCTCTGTGGTGGGATAGTGGCAGTTTCACTCCTGTTTGCTGGTGCATTTGGCATAGTGCAAGTCTTTTTCTGTGCATGTAGCGACATAGTAAGGGTGTTAAAACTGGTGGATCAAGTGTGACAACATCATTGCATGTAAAACAAACAAGATACCTGTGCTCAAATGTCAACAGCTAGTGCATGCATTTATCCATCAGGTGTTAAAGGGGTGTAACCACATATTAACACTAGAAATTCTGAGGACCCTCTGCACACTGGTATATACCCTTTCAAGCAGACTATGCAATAAATAGGGATATTTAGTTCACACATATTGCAATACATGCTTAAGCTGGCCAACTGCATCAAAGTAATCCCTCTATGGCCAGTCCTACTCTGCTCTGCCTACGCAAGTGCTACTGTGGACACAATGCTAGCATAGGGGAAAAGACACAATGGGGAGAGCTACAAGGTTCAGGTCTGGCTACTGACCCAACAATACAACAAACAAGAGATCCCTGTGCTCAAATCCATACAGCTAGTGCATGCACTTATCTATCAGGTGCTAAAGGGGTGTTACCACATTAACTCTAGAAATTCTGAAGGGCCCTCTGCACACTGGTATATACCCTTTCAAGCAAACTTTGCAATAAATAGGGATATTTAGTTCACACATATTGCAATACATGCTTAAGCTGGCCAACTGCGTCAAAGTAATCCCTCTATGGCCAGTCGTACTCTGCTCTGCCTGCGCAAATGCTACTGTGGACACAATGCTAGCATAGGAGAAAAGACACAATGGGGAGAGCTACAAGGTTCAGGTCTGGCTACTGACCCAACAATACAACAAACGAGATCCCTGTGCTCAAATCCATACAGCTAGTGCATGCACTTATCTATCAGGTGCTAAAGGGGTGTTACCACATTAACTCTAGAAATTCTGAAGGACCCTCTGCACACTGGTATATACCCTTTCAAGCAAAGTATGCAATAAATAGGGATATTTAGTTCACACATATTGCAATACATGCTTAAGCATGTATTGCAATATGTGTGAACTAAATATCCCTATTTATTGCATAGTTTGCTTGAAAGGGTATATAAAAGTGTGCAGAGGGTCCTTCAGAATTTCTAACATCATTACATGCGTCTGCTGTTTTTTCTGTTCTATTGGCATGGAGACACATGTGATCAGAAGTTATAGCTAATGCAGCACAGACACAGTTCCAGCACATCAAGTGTCCAGCAGTCTGTACAGGTTCTCGAAAGGTTCAGCTGGGTGCTGAAGCTTCAGAAGTCTTCTCTGGTTCTGATACATCTGGATCATTTTAGGTTTGGTCTGCAACACAGCACAAGTAAAAGTTCTGCTTCAACAGGAGAAGTTGCCCGACTTATCGATCACAGGTGGAAACTCTAGGGACATTGGAAAGCCCATTCTTTGACACCTGCATAAGGGGACTGGGGAAGATGGTAACTGCCATCATTGAGGCCCCCCTATGCCCAGTTGCACTCCAGAGCTTTCAAACAATATTTGAATGGGATAAACATTAGGAGTTTTTGGACCTGCCTATGCATCTGACTCCACAGACCAGGTTGGCTCTAAAATGGTGGATACCTACGCAGATGCTGGATACCAGGGAAGCCTTCCTTCTGATGAATTTGGAAGGTCTTGACGAGGGGTTCCAGCCTTTCGGGCTGGGGAGATGTTCTGGAGTGCTTCTTGGTTTAGGCAACAGGATTTTTCAGAGGGGTAGATGTTTCTATGTAACATCTTGGTCTTATATACACCTCTTCCTCATTCAGGGAGCTATTTCCTATTAGAGCCTTCTTGTCAGTGTTCCTAGCCAGATCCTTGCGTGCACTCTGCACTCCTGTTTTTCCCATGGAGCTTCCAAATACAGATGAAAAGGTGCAGTGACATTTTAACCATTGAGATGTGCATCCCTGGGTCATAGTTAGGTCAGCTGTTTGTGTTTTTTCTGTGCAGATCTCAAAACCAATATTTCTTCAGAATAAAACATATTAGAAAATATAGTGGAATTAAACCCACCGATTTAACCATTTCCCTAAACCGTTAAATTAAGGCATGCCTTGATAACTGCTATAGTTACATAAAAAAGACACAAGTCCATGTAGTTCAACCAATAGAAAAAATACACACACACACACAGATAGAACATTTCTATATACACAATCCTATACCTATAGTTGCTCCAGAGGAAGGCAATAAAAACCCAGTAAAGCATGATCGAATTTTTTCCAGCAGAGAAAAAACATTCCATCTTGATTCCCCCAAAAGCAATCGGATATTCTCTGGATCAACTATCCCTGGTGATAATACCTATAAATATAAGTATCAAGTTATATTTTGTGCACTGAGAAAAGAATCAAGGCCTTTTTTAAAACTATGCACTGAGTTGGCCAGAACCAGCTATTGAGGAAGTCTGTTCCATATTTTCACAGCTGTTACTGTAGAGAAGTCTCTCCGCATTTGGAGTGTTAAATGTTTTTCCTCCAGCCATAAAGGATGCCCCTTTGTGATGACCTTAAATTAAACAACTCTACACCAAGTTCACTAAATGGATCACTTATATATTTATACATGTCCCTCCTTAATCTCCTCTTCTCGAGAGAATTAATTCAGTTCGGCAAATCTTTCCTCCATGCTGAGCTCCTTCATGCCTCTTATCAGTTTGGTTGCCCTCCTTTGCACTTTCTCCAGTTCCCCAGCATTTTTTTTTTGTGAACTGGTGCTCAAAACTGAACTGCATATAACAGATGAGGTATTACCAACAATTTGTGTAGAGGAAAATGACGTCTTTCTTTGTAGTCTATGCCTCTTTTATTTCAAGAAATTATTTTGCTTGCTTTAGAAACTGCAGTTTGGCAGTGCATGCTACTATTAAGTCTATGATCTACCAGAATACCCAGATCCTTCTCCACCATTAATTCCCCCTTTTCACAACCCCAGACAGTTTCATATTTATGTCTTGGCAGATTGCTGTTTTAATATTATTTGGCATCTCAAGCACAGTGTTTTGCTGTAAGTCATACAAATCTGCAAATCTTGTTTAATTCTAGTTATGTTAGGATGTTTTATGCTTTAGATTTTTAGCCTTTTGTAATGTTTAGATATGCTTATATGTATGTTGGTCTTCTACACTTATCCTAAGTGTTGATTTATCACGTGTATGTGTTGTGGTGCTGAAATGTCTTCTCAGTGCCTTGCGGAATGCAATCTTCAAAGGTCATTGTGCAACATGTTACTGTTCACATTGCAGGATTGCCATGCTGACAAGTTCTTTGTTCAAAATCTGCTGGAACAATGTGCCATAGAAACCCTTTTCTCAATAAATTCAGCAGCATTTCAATTATACCAGTTCCAAAAACACAATTGGAAAAATAAAGCTGAAAAAAGGAGGAGAATTCCTTATTCTAAATATTTCTTTTACAGGGCTAATAACTCTGATATGGTGTGGTGTCTACATATCAGCAATATAATCACTGAAATATCTTTTCATTGAATGTTCTTTGTTATACGTATATTCATACATGACAACTGTATGTAAAGTTCATACAACCATGGTGCTGCTTACAGTCAGAAAACAATAGGCTGTAGGACAATATTTGTCATGTATTGTGAAACATCTCAGGGAAGTCTTCTTTGTTTTATAGACTTCTTGATCATCATACAGCAATGCTAAATCTTAGGGATCTGATGTCAATCATTGCCACTTTGAAGCATTTGTTTAACCGACTTATTCTATTTTAATACGTTTTTTTTAAAAAATCACTGACTTTTTTTTTTTTTTTTTTTTTAGAAGAGAGAGTTGTCCCCATCGAAGTTTGCCGCTCCAAATTATCAAAACAACTGCAGGGAGTTGTATTTCGCTGTGACAAATGTACCTTTACTTGCTCCAGTGATGAAAACCTGCAGCAGCACATTGAGAAGCACAATGAACTAAGGCCCTACAAATGTCAGCTATGTTATTATGAAGCCAAGCAAAATGAAGAACTAGATGGTCACCTTAGGGAGGAACATAAGGTATGCTTTATTTTTCTAAAGAATGTGATTAGAAATAAGAAATGTGTGTAAACTATATTGTATTTTCAGTGAGTACAAACTTTTTACTTATTCTTGTTCTGCCATTAACCCAAAAGGTATTTTTCATAAATGTTTAAAGTTTTGTTTTGTGTTGTATAAAGCAGGGAAGAATTGGAACCAAGTGAAAAACTGCCAAGTTTTTATTGTTGTGAAAGTTCTCACTCTCTTTGTCTTTGTGACCATTGTCATTGAGACAGTAGGCAATGAGAAATATTTTGTCACTAGAACAAGATTTTAAGGGAAACCTTCCAATGGTGACACTTGTTCAAGTGACAATAAGTTGATGGCAGTTCCCCTCAATTGTAGAGATTTCCTCTCACTTAAGCAGGCCACATATTAAGCAGTTTCTTACTTGCAAATATCTCCCGCAGAGCCTTTGTATTCTGAGCATGGGAGGTTTTCCAGGCGTCAGAATACAATGATCACTGCCAGCAGCTACAGCAGTGATCAAATGAGAAAAACCCAATAGGCTGGTTGTACTGAAGTCGATCAATGAATTGACTTCAGCACAACCAGCCTGCCCATAGATGGATTGAAATCTGGTCTCTGCTAAACCGGTCGAATTTCAATCCATCTATGGTAACTTTACTGTTGCAACTCTGGGACAGGAAGTGAAGGGAAATTTCCCCAATGGGACAGAGAGTAAAAAATAAACTAATGGCTTTAAAAGCTATGTATAGAAATGTTAGCTTTTCTTCCTTTCTCTAGAAGTAAAGCAGGATATACCTGGACTATTATTTCTCCTTTTAACCTGCAGTTTGAACGCAAAAAAAAAAAATATCTGGATGGGTTATACTGTATTTGGTTTTATTTCTGCAGTCAATCAGTATGTATGCCCTACTGACACAGCTGATCACGTGATGTGGTAAAAGGCCAATCACAGCAGCCTTTTACCACGTGATCAGCCGTGCCCAATGACACGCTGATCACCGGGAAATGCAATTGCCGGTTCTCGGCTGCACTTTCTTCACTCTGTTAGAATGTAAGGAAAGTACTGCCGAGAACCGGCAGTTGTCAGAGCAGGGATCGGCACCGATCATCAGGGCACTGATGATCAGTGCCCTGATGATCGGTGCCCAGCAGTGCCACCCACCAGTTCTGCCCACCTGTGCCCAGCAGTGCACCCACCAGTGCCACCCAGCAGTGCACCCACCTGTGCCACCCAGCAGTGCCACCCACCTGTGCCAGTCAGTGCCACCAGTCAGTGCCCAGTGGTTGTGCCAGTCAGTTCCCAGAAGTTGCGCCAGTCAATGCCTACCAGTGCCGCCAGTCAGTGCCGCCTATCCGTGACACCTCATTAGTGCTGTCTAACAGTGCCACATATCCGTGCTAACTCATTAGTGCTATCTATCAGTGCCCATCAGTGCTGCCTATCAGTGCCCATCAGTGTTGCCTATTAGTGCCCATCAGTGCTGCCTCATCAACGCAGATCAGTGAAGGATAAAAATTACCTGTTTGAAAAATTTTATAATAAAAACAAAGAAACTTTTTTTTTTTTCAAATTTTTTGCAATTTTTTTGTTTATAGCGTTAAAAGTAAAGTGCCCAGCAGCGATTAAATACCACCAAAAGAAAGCTCTATTTGTGAGAAAAAAATAATAAAAAATTTCATATGGGTACAATCTTGCATGACCGCGCAATTGTCAATCAAAGTGTGACAGCGCTGAAAGCTGAAAATTGGCCTGGTAAAGAAGGGGGTAAAAATGCCCCAGTATTGAAGTGGTTAAGCAGCACATATATTGTACATTGACATCATTCCTGCACTCAAGGAGCTTACAATCTAAGGGCCTTATCTCACATGCATACACATACTAGGGTCAATTTAGATGGGAGCCAATTAACCTGCCAGCATGTCTTTGGAGTGTGAGAAGTAACTCATGAATGCACAGGGCCCGGTAGGCAAGTGGTTAAACTTGCATTAAACACGTCAAAAATGTATGTTAACACTATCGGTGCATTGGTTAGTGTTAGTGTCAGCGTTAGAATTTTTTGCAAATGTGACCTTAGCCTAATGGCTTGAGTTCAGTTGGGAGATGACATAAGCATACTGGTAACTCTGACAGTTATTGCCACAGACGAGCCTTCAATGTAACTGTTTTGAAAAACTATTAGAGGATTTAGTTCCCCTTTTAATTTGTGTGAATATGTGAATGTTTCAGATTATCAGAAGAGAACATGAAAATGATGGAGCTGGAAATTATATTTTCCAATGCACAGCTGACTTCCTGTGTAGTAATTCCAAAACTACCAAACTGCCAATATAGCATTTATCTAGCTATAATATTAGCAGAATATCTATCTAGCATTTGGCATGGAACAACAGGTTTTAAAGCAACATTTACATTTATTTTGGAAAAAAGAATTAAAGGATATGCAGATTCTCTGGAACTGCTGTAGACGATGGTGGGCTTAGAGCCAAGGACTTTGTAGCACACCCCTTTCCATGGTGATACTTGAATTTACCATTTAGCTTAGCCACAAGATGGTGAGGAAGCCGCTACTACCTTCAGGTGCTCAGCTGAAATTGAACAGCAGCTTGGGCCAAAAATTGATGGTGTGAACTGCCAAGACGTTTTCAGTCAACCAGAGACCGGGTATGTGCAGGGACCCTGGATTGGTTGACTGCTAGTGCACCAGGCTCTATAATGAAGCAAAGGAAAGGTCAGGTGCTCCTTTTTACATGTCAATTTTTTTCACAGGTGTGCATCCTTTTACATACATGACTGGGAATGTCATTGGTAGCATAGTCCTATAATACAACCTTTTCTATGTTCTTCAATTCTGTGGCCCTGCAAGACATGATTTGAACATTTTCCAATTAATCATACATACATTAATAGACAACGGGATTCGTTTTGTAGATCCTCCTGTTTTGCAGAAAATACTGTGTGGTAGTACTTGATTGGATCCCCAAGCTGTTAGTATTTGTTACATCTGACAATCATATTAATTGATGTTGTGCAATAGTTTTTAGTGCTACTGAAATATGTGCATATAAGTATCAGCTGTCATATCTGATTTTGTTTCCTTAGGTATGCCGCAATTTTGAGCTTGTTGGACTAGTTAATTTGGATCAGTTGGAACAGTTGAAAGATAAAACAGAGGTTTCAAGCAGTGATGAAGAAGAATCTGCTGCTAAGCAAGAACGTTAGTGTTTGTTTTAATTTGAATTTGAAAATGAGTGTTCTATGTAAAATATCGGTTTCTTTTTAAATGTACAATATTTTTACAGATCAGATGTAACTTTGCACTTTTATGGCTAACATTTTTTTTTTTTTAGGTTGACTGTAAAGTGTAAGGTCATCAGTGGGGTTAAAAAAAGGTTTTCCAACCTAGGCCATCACTAGTTCCTTCTGAACCAGCCATAAGGCTTAGGAGCCACTCAGATATGAGTTTGGATGGCCATATTTTCATGTTATGAATAGCTGTACACTTTTCTGAGTGAGCCAGAGGAAGTACTTTGTGTCAGAAATTCAGTCCATCTATTATAATGATTGCTTCTTTTTGTTTAGTTACCATGCAGGTTCCTGATGTCAAGGTTACTGCTGAAGAGAAGCGTTTCCCTTGTGAATTCTGTGGAAGAACCTTTGCACTTAGCACAGAATGGGGGAAAAGCATGTTTTAAGGCATGGCATGTAAGTTAAGAGATTTTCGGAAACCTATTGACTATACAGGTCTGCTTAAAAAATTAAAAAATGTCACATTTATAGCAATCAAGCCAAAAAAGTGAAATCCTGACTTGAAAGAGTTCAGTATTGGGTGTTCTAGATTCCTTGTGTAATGTCACAGAGAAGCTAGTCAAATCCCTGTTTTTAGTATTTCTAAATTTTTGGTAAATTTATTAGGGACATTACAATTGTACAGCTATTATAGCACCATTGATGTAATACCATCATTGTTTTATTCTACTTGCAACTATTCTAACTTTTTGTGTGTAAGGAATAGTTAATGGCAGAGACAGATGTTTTTACCACATTGTAAAACAGCTGTCACCACAGAGATACACAGGAAACAATTGTTTCCTATGTGTCCCATTCACACTGTAACTCAGAATAGCACTTGCGCTGCAGCATGCTGTGGTAAAATGCAGACATGCTGCATTTTATCGCAGCAGCTCACCAGAATGAATCACACTGCAATGTCAAGCAGTGCAGCACAACAGGGAAACGCTCGGACTGGTCTGCAATTTACTGCCTTGCCAGTAAAGTAAGGTGGAGATTTACTAAAACTGGTGCACACAGAATCCGGAGTGATGCTTGATATTTAAAGTGTTGTCGGTTTGCCAAGGTTGTAACTGTCGGCCTGATTATTTGAGTAGTTAGAGTAGCAAGTGCGTTCAGTGATGATGAGAGTGAACTGTTGCAGACAGAGATGGCCAGGTTAGGAGAGGACAGGGGTGCTTGAAGGGATAGATGGTTGAAGACAAGGACACTGTGAAACTGATGAGGTTGTGAGCAGAGAGAGGAAATACGATGTTGGCAAGGTGTGCAGAGATGGGTGAATCAAGGGTCAAGAGTGTTAATGTCGAAGTGAGTGGAAGTGTGTCTCCATTGTGTTCAGTCAAAAGATGAGGTTAAGTTGAGAAGTTAAGATGTAGCTGGACTGTTAACATTAACAGGGATGATAGTGCATGATAGTGAGTATTTCAGAGGAGATAAAGTAAGGTAACCAGTCAAAGGAAGTCATCAAAAAAGTGTGATACTGGTCTAGGAGGCTAATAAATTACTGCAAAACTCAGAGAAATTAAAGAAAACCAACAAATACAGTGGGTCTCAAAAAAAGGAATGTGATCGAGAGGAGGAGTAGGAAGAAGAGATCAGTTGGGATAGAAGGAGTACAACTCCACCTCCTTTCCGTCCACAGGGTCTGGGTGAGTGAGTCCAGTAAAGTCTACCAAGGGAGAAGGCAGAATCACATTTTTGAAGCCAGGTTTTAGTAATGGCAAGTATGTTAAAGCAACAGGAGATAAAAAAGTCATGCATAGATGTTCTCTGCCCCCCACCTTAAAGCAAACGGAAATGTTATTTTAATTTGGAAATCTGATGACTTTTTTTTTATTTTACAGGACTGTAGTTGTAGTTGAAAATAAGAAAGAGAATGAAGAACACATAAATCCAAATGAAAATGTTGGGGACACTTATAATGAAGCAAAGCAAGCAGAGGAAAGTATTGACACTTCTCAGCAAACAAAAACATCATGTCTGAACCTTGTGGTGACCAAAATGGAATAATTCTTCCAGGAGACACAATGTTGCTTGAACACTGACACAGTTGAGGAAAGGATAGAAAGCTGCTTTTTTTGGACTTGTAGCATCTTCTATTTTTCAAGCACTGATACTCATATGAGTTTGTATAAAGTTCATTTATTTAAATGAGAAACTGAGTCAAGGAATGACTTCACTACAACCTTTCCTCTTCGTTAATATGAATTTTGGTTGAACAAGGACTAATGGAACTTTTGCTTGACGGCACAGACTTTCTAGTGCACTCTTTTCTGCTAAGAATGACTAATACTGCATGGCAGTACTTTTAAAAAGCACCACTTTTGGGACAATTTTTTAATACGTACTTTCCATTCTGTTGCATTTACTCTAGAGATGAGAAATAAAATGTCAGTTTTTTCCTGTTTAATTGCATTGGTCACTATACTTCTAGTACCTCAAGAAAAAAGTTCCAAGGGAGTTCTCTGCATTTACCCAAGCTGCTTTTCCAAGCGGATGAATGTCAGGAAAGCTTGCTAAAATAGTGAACAAAAAAGAACTAAGTGTGTGGAAAATACACATATTCTTGAAGATCCTTTTGTGGGCTTTGTCTTAAAAATACTGTGATTTTTTTTTTTCTAAGTTTTAATAAACTAAAAAATTGAAAACCTACTAGAATACAAGGTATCTATTTGTAAACAGTTGTACAAACACTTTTTTCTTAAAGGTTAATTTAGGAATTCTGATTTTTCAGCCTGTTTATTAAATCCGGCATTAGACCAATGCAGCACGATTCTGAGTTTGACGAGAGGAGGCTGTGGTTAAGACTGTAATATTAATGTTTACCATTTGTTTTGTATCCCTATTCAACCAATAAAATGCATCTTTTTTTTAGTATACTAATCTGCAAATGAGGCACTTCTCATAAACGTTTGGTTTTATATGATACTTACAAAGCAAAAGGACGTCTGATATTAGGACGCTATCTTGTTACAGAAAGATATTCCATCTTACAATTGTATGCCTGCCTGAATCCTAGGAGTGTATGGGTCCAAACCATGCCCCACTTACAAAGTTGGCCAATAGCCATTTCTCCCTTTTGAATCCATACTTGCCTTGTTGATACAATCCTGGAGAATTCTTGGTTTCCATATGTTAGACGCTCATCCTACAGTACCTAAATATATGTGTACACAGAGGTTTTCCTGTGTGCAAGCACAGCACACAGATAACAGAACTAAAGAGTACTGCTTATGGGGTCCATTGAAGCCTACTAGATGCACAACCTGAGCAAATAAACAATTGAAAGCAATGCCAAATGCATGGCTTCATACATATTCAAATCACAGTAGGTTCCCTCAATCATTCAAAATACCCATGTACTAAAAAAAAAAAAACATGCCACACAGGGTCTTCACTAGCAGCAAACAGCGATTGTGGCATTCAGTTCCTTATGTGGTTAACATATATTGGCAAAATGGAACCTTTTACAGAACCTTTACAAGTCTATCATACATTGTTCTAGAACAGACCATTCTTTTACATTTGGAGGGTTTTTATTTAGTTTGAGTTGTAGAAATGAAGAAGTGACCTTCAGATATAGTATATATAATTTATTTTTTGATTGTTCAAGCTTTTAACTGTAATTTTTGTCTGTTCTATTAAAAAATGTATTTACATCTTGAAAAGATTAACCATGGTAAATGTGTGGTTAATATGCATATGTTTGGTTTTAAATTAACATGTTGCACTTTTTTTATGTAACATTTTTTTGTGCGATCGGTCAACTTGCAGTTAAAGGGGTCATTCAAATTTAGTATGGGACTCTTTTGAGTACTGTACAAATTTACCTCATTCCTCTTGCATTTGAGCAGTAATTGTTCAGGTTGACCTTGCTGGAAACTGCTAGACAGGCATCTTTAGAGATTGCTTTTGCAAACATATGTGCTTTGTACTTACATTTACACTTCTCCAGGCCTCCAATAACTAAGTTATATGTAAGAAAGACACAGTAGGTTTGTACTAATTCTGAAAAAGGAGACCTAGTAAGGCTTCAGCTTAAAGCTATGGTTTAAGAAGCGATTTGTAAACATTTTTTTTTGTTAAGATAGAAAGTAGATGATAGACTTTGAAAACTGCAAGATACTGATTGGCCTTTTCTTGAAGCTCCTTGTACATGCTGAAACAATGGAGTGGTTACCAAAAACTGTTTGACATGTGAAGTTTGATGCTTTATCACTACTTTATTTTTTAAAATAACATGTAAATATTGTAATCCATTGGACTTTGCTTTGCTAACCAGTTAATTAAACTATGGGACCATTATTGTTTAAAATTTACTGTTTGTAGTTCTTTACTGCTTTTTTATTTTTTACTGCTTTGCTAAAGTATACCTGTACATAATCTTAGCAACACTCTTACCTTTTTCAGTAGCTGTACATTATGCATCAAAATTAAAGCGTCATTGAACCCAATTTTTAAATTTCAGTTAGATCTTCCTTTTTGTTAATAAAGAATCAATTTTAAATGGGTTTTATATCAAAAGAAGTTGCCCATTTACCTTATTGCAGAGTGTATATACTGCAGTCACGTGACACCGCTAAATTGCTCCTCGCCGTGCAGTGATATATGGAGGAGGCACATTTACAAAAAAAAAAAAGTGATGAAGCTATTCAATTCACTCCATGAGATGTATAGGGTCTTCCCATGCCCACAGAGCACTGATTGGTGCTTTTGTGGTCGCATGTTGCCAATGAACACTCAGACAGATACGCCCCTGCTAGATAATATGGGGCAGTGAGGGGCGGACTACAGTGTGGTCGCTTGAGGCTGGAAGTAATGACAAGAGTCACAATGGCAACGCTATAGCTGGAAAATTGACTGCTATAAGGTTGGAACCTGCATCTAGGAAGTGGGGGAAAAAAACAACAGGATCAACCAGGTATTTACGAATACAGAAGATGCACAAATGAAAGTTTCTGTTGTAAGATAAAATACATATTTTTACATTTAAATATGCTTAAAAGTTAAGTTTAATGACACTGCAATAGGAATGTGTCTATATCTGCTGCATACCCCTACGCTACACTGCTAGCTTTGTAGTGGTCTAGGAGGTGCTTCATTTCTTTGGTGTCGTAAAATTTATTGGAGCAGGCAGAGGAGGAAGATGGGGATCAGGGACAGGTGTCCGAACAGCTCAACAATGGCCGCTATTGTCTTCTTTCCACAGGACACTACTCACCTCCATTATTTTAAAAAAAATGAAGAATATGATCATCTGGAAGAGAGGAATATTCACTTGAATCAATCATTTAAGATGACACCTATAGTCCAAAATAGAACAGAGCTCAGACCAATTTGACTTGTCATGTGTTAAACTAATTCTTTCTTTCCTTTCATAAGGAAGTCTACTTTGAGGACATCTTGAAGTTATTGGGCAGCAAAAAGTTAACAACCACAATCATCCAGACACAGTTGCAAAGTTTCAAGCCATAATAGGCTCTTTCTCAAGCGAGGAGCCAAGCCTGCAATGGCTTGAAATGTTGCAACTACTTTTTCTATAGAGGATTGCTATTTTTACCTTTAATACTGCCTATGGTGAATTAAAAGGGTTTTTTTTATCTTTAAGTGTATCATAAACCAAAATGTAGTGTCTTTATTGTCCATTGAGGGACATAAGAAGGTAGTAATTCTTAGGCAAGATGGACACTGGCAAATGGGGAAAAAAAACTGCTGAAGGTCAGCCCTTATATAATCCTGCACCTAACTGTCATGTCTCATTTTTTTTTTTCGTCTTAGAAGCATGGGCCCTTAGGAAAACGTTTTGTATATTTTTACAAATTTTTTTTCTTCTATTGACATTTTCTCTAAATCGTAGATTTTTCTCTTCAAGACAATGTTTTGCAAGTAACATATCCTGACTGTACTCTGCACTGTTTTGGTATTGTTATCCAGTTTGTGGCACATTCTGTGACCCAGCCTCATTTAATACATTAAGGCCAACCAGGCTGCAGCAAGGTCACTGTGTCACAATTTTACCAACTGAGAGCTATTTTTCTTTTGAAAATTCCTGAGGTAACAGTTCAGCCTGAGGGAAATTCTGTTAAAGTCATCCACTAGAAAAAGTGTTGCACTCTTATCTCTTTTCAACCCCTTCAGCCCAGAAGGAAGCATTTTCCCTCTGCTATCACTATTTGAAATGTGTTATGGATAATCCAGTCTCTGTTTTTTTTTTCCCACTGCCTGCTTACAGCGACTTGTTCACTTCAGCTGCCTACAACCCTTACTAGCTCTAACTGACTTGGTTTGTGAATACGTATGGCCTTGTCCCATTTTGGGTTAGTTGCTTACCTCTGTTTTGGTACAGCATATCCATTAAGATGCGCTGAAGACAGTCCTGCCACAACGGTCTTCTTTTGAAGCAAGGAGCTTCTGATGGGGATCCTGATGTAAGGGGGAACTTTGTATTTTCTTTCACATTTGTTGTGAATCCTATCATGTGGATTCCAAAAAAAAGATCCAAGTAGAACTTTTTCATTCATTTAATATTCATTGATTTATAAAGCTGATTTTTTTTTGCAAGTATTTGTAAAATATGCTATGTGGCATTTGTACTGAAAAGTTTGAAGACCCATGATCTAGAGCAGGGGTTTTCAAACACTTCATTACAAGGGCCACATTGTAAATTTTACAAATATTCACAGGTCAAAAATATCAGTTTCGTAAATCATCAAATTACATTTAAAGGAATGAATTTATTTTACTTTGTTTTTTTGTAATCAGATATGTAAAATAAACTTGAGGCTATAAAAGCCCCCCTTACATCAGAATCCCCATCAGAGCCCTTCCTTTTATCAGAGTCCCCTCTTGCATCAGAGGGCCAAATAAAATCTTGAGCGGTGGGCCGGGTTTGCCCAAGGGCTACATTTTGGGGACCCCTGATATAACGATTCAACCAGCAGTACTGGGTAATGCATTTTTTGGAGCATGTCTGAAACAAAGACCTCCCCTATATCCTCTGTTCTAGAACA